TGCCACATGATAACTTAAGTTTTAAATGCTTTTCCAAAATGAGAAAATGTTTTTTACTGATGCTCTACTTTCATAGGTACATTAGACAAGTTTACAAAATTAAAATAAAGCACTGAACCAACAAGGGCAAGCAATAAAACAACAGGAAGTAAGGTCCAATTAATTTTTTAAAAAATGCTTATCTTTTTAAAGGCTAGCAGGGAAGAGGTTGTATGAACTTCCTTTGGAAGTGAGTTCCATAGCACCATGCTGTAATAGAAAAGGCCCTGCTCTTAAGGAGTAGATGAAATCCAAAACATGGCATAACCAGCTGGCTTTTAAATGGCAGTAAGAACTTTTTCTCTGTTACAAAGGTTGGTTTGTGCTCCTGTTGGTAAGCACTCACTCAGTGCTGTTGCACATCTGATCAAGTAGGTAGCAAGAGTAAAGAAATTTGCTCATACACCTTGTTGTGAAGAGAGGCTGCTGCTGTGCGGTGTTCATATGATGCTTCATTTAAGCTGTCAAAAGCTGGGTTTTAAGTCCCATAAATAAATAAAACAAAGATCTAACTCTGCAGGTTGTAAGAGGAACTCTCACAGATAAGGAAGAAGGGGAGGAGGGCAGATGCATAGTTTTCTCAGTAAAGGTGGGTCTACTCTGGCATTGCAAAGGCACAACATAATTGCAGGGGGAAGCACTGCGAGAGACATGTCCTTTGCTGATGCTCCAAGGGGCCAAGAAACCTTGGGAGCAGGGCTGTTGCTGGCGGTATGCAAATATTTATTTTTGCAAGTATGAAAGGGTATCATAATATTCTCTGTAATCTCACACTGATGAAGTCCTGTACTGCGGATTGCTTACTTTGCAATGCAACATTAATCTTAATTAAAACATAGTATTTTTTTTAAAAAAAAACCTATGCAAATATTTTACATAGTTAAATCTCTTACTTAGATAAACAATTTCCCATTGTCTAACCATGAACTTGATTTAGAAGGTACATCTGCTTAGGAAACTGTTCCCTTTGAAATGGAGGTTTAGCTGTGCCATTTCACACCTTTGTCCCAGAGAGGCAGTCATGCATAATGTATTGTTACATTCCTGACATCCCTTGCATATCCCTTTTAAATGATGCCAAGAAGAAGAAGAACTAAACCTAAGGGAAATGCCTGAAGCTGCCTGCTGGAAAAATACAGTGTTATACTGGTTTGCCAGCTGAGAACAGGAATAGCCTTGCCACAAGGAACCATGCTCTGGTAACTTTTGATTTGGTTTACTCTAATGCAGTGGTGGCTAACCTGTGGCCTTCCAGGCGTTCCTGGGACCCCAGCTCCCTTCAGCCTCAGTCCGTGTAGACAGTGGTGAGGGATGATGCTTAGCCACTTAAGCTTGTGCATGGTACTATCCTTGAAAGCTACTCACAAGCTTCAACTGGTACAGAACGAAGCTGCTAGGTGGTGCAGCCAGATGGAATTACATTACATTGATTATGTTGACTGCCTTTTCACCTGAAGCCCACTTTTTGGTGCTAGTGCTTACTGTTAAAGCCATATATGCCTTGGGACCCACATACTCTGTGCCTTAAGAACCTTGGAGGAGAGCCTTCTCTGTGGTGGTCTCCCATCTTCGAAATACCGTATTTTTCGCACGATTGGACGCACCGGACCATAGGACGCACCTAGTTTTTTGGGGGGGAAATAAAGGAAAAATTTTTTCCCTTTATTTCCCCCCCAAAAGCAGGTCAGGGAAACCGAACCAGGTCGAGGAACAGCGGGATAGTGGCGCTGCGCCTCCCTGCTGTCCCCCGAGCTTGTGGGGCTGGCTGATGTCTGCCTGGCGCGCGGGGCGCTCTGCTTCAGGGCGCCCCACCCGCCAGGCAGCAGGCTGCTATCCGCAGCGTGGGGAGCCCTGTGGGGAACTCCTGCAAGGCTCCCCACTCTGCGGATGTCTGCCTGGCGCGAGGGGCGCTCTGCTTCAGGGCGCCCCACCCGCCAGGCAGCAGGCTGCTATCCGCAGCGTGGGGAGCCCTGTGGGGAACTCCTGCAAGCCTCCCCACGCTGCGGATGTGTTCCCGAAGCGCCTGGAGCTCTGCTTTCAGGGCGCCCGACGCTCCGGGAAGCAGGCTGCTATGGCTAGCAGAGCGCTAATCCCGAACCTTGGGGCGTGCGGAGCTCAGCGCGCCCCAAGCTTCTGGGCGCCGGCAAGGTCTCCGCTAGCCTAGCGGAGACCTTGCCGGCACCCAGAAGCTTGAGGCGCGCTGAGCTCTGCACGCCCCAAGCTTCGGGATTAGCGCAGTGGTCCGCTAGCCGTGGGAGAGCCGCGCGACGTCGCGGGGCTCTCCCAGGGCTAGCGGAGACGTTGCCGGCACCCAGAAGCTTGGGGCGCGCTGAGCTCTGCACGCCCCAAGCTTCGGGATTAGCGCAGCGCTTCGCTAGCCCTGGGAGAGCCGTGCGACGTCGCGGGGCTCTCCCACGGCTAGCGGAGACCTTGCCGGCACCCAGAAGCTTGGGGCGCGCTGAGCTCTGCACGCCCCAAGCTTTGGGATTAGCGCAGTGGTCCGCTAGCCCTGGGAGAGCCGCGCAACGTCGCGGGGCTCTCCCAGGGCTAGCGGAGACCTTGCCGGCACCCAGAAGCTTGGGGCGCGCTGAGCTCTGCACGCCCCAAGCTTCGGGATTAGCGCAGTGCTTCGCTAGCCCTGGGAGAGCCGCGCGACGTCGCGGGGCTCTCCCAGGGCTAGCGAGACCTTGCCGGCACCCAGAAGCTTGGGGCGCGCTGAGCTCTGCACGCCCCAAGCTTCGGGATTAGCGCAGTGGTCCGCTAGCCCTGGGAGAGCCGCGCGACGTCGCGGGGCTCTCCCAGGGCTAGCGGAGACCCTGCTTGCACCCAGAAGCTTGGGGCGCGCTGAGCTCTGCACGCCCCAAGCTTCGGGATTAGCGCAGTGGTCCGCTAGCCCTGGGAGAGCCGCGCAACGTCGCGGGGCTCTCCCAGGGCTAGCGGAGACCTTGCCGGCACCCAGAAGCTTGGGGCGCGCTGAGCTCTGCACGCCCCAAGCTTCGGGATTAGCGCAGTGCTTCGCTAGCCCTGGGAGAGCCGCGCGACGTCGCGGGGCTCTCCCAGGGCTAGCGAGACCTTGCCGGCACCCAGAAGCTTGGGGCGCGCTGAGCTCTGCACGCCCCAAGCTTCGGGATTAGCGCAGTGGTCCGCTAGCCCTGGGAGAGCCGCGCGACGTCGCGGGGCTCTCCCAGGGCTAGCGGAGACCCTGCTTGCACCCAGAAGCTTGGGGCGCGCTGCGTTCCGCACGCCCCAAGCTTTGGGATTAATGCTGCGCTCCGCTAGTGGTGGGAGAGCTGGGTCTCCCACGGCTAGCGGATAGCTTCCTGAAGCCTGGAGAGCGAGAGGGGTCGGTGCACACCGACCCCTCTCACTCTCCAGGCTTCAGCGAAAGCCTGCATTCGCTCCATAGGACGCACACACATTTTCCCTTGCTTTTTAGGAGGGAAAAAGTGCGTCCTATGGTGCGAAAAATACGGTACTTCGTGTGCTGACCTTATAATAGTCTGTGTGCCATGTCAAAATATAACTGTTTGCCAAGGAATTTGGAAGCTAGTCTTGAAAACCATTTAGTCTTCTCTGAATGAGTTTCATTGTCTCTAATTCTTTTATGAAAATGGTTGCCTTATTTTATGTATGATACTGTATTGATGCAACAATGTTTAATTTTATTTATCCCTATTGTCTACAGCCCTTTTATCTATAAGAATGAAGGGCAGCCTAAATCTTCAAATTATTCAGCTGGATTTCAAATACAATTTATTTAAAGCTGTGAAATCATCGTCATTAGCTGTATAATTATATTGTTACAAAAGTGAAACATTGCTGGCTTTATTTATGTCACAAATACATATTTGCCAACCCTAGCCAAATAATTTTTGATAACCCACTGATTTTAAGTGATGATTTAGAGTCTTATCAAGGCAGGAGTAGTCCTTAGTGTGAAATAATTTAGTACCTTTATTCCTGCCTAAATAAATCCTGTTTAAACGCTGGGGTGTTTGACAAATACAAAGCAGCAACAAAGACTGGTCATCAGTTGTTAAGCTATTTGGATCATGTGTCGTCATGCTCATGTCTCATGCTCAAAGACAGGGCCATTCACTCTCTAGCTCCTTTCACTCAAGTGGTGCAGTGCAAACTTGGCAGAGAGCAGATGTACTCCAGGTGATTGAAGCAAGAGAGTTGGTACTAGGGAAGGCAACAACAAAACCACTTTGATTGAGAAGAAAGTTCCTTTCCTAACCCTAAATATGTGAATCAGTGAGATTTTTACCATGAGCAAATCTGATGGAATCGAGCAGCATGATAACACTTGCTTAGATCAGCTAGAGCCTATTTTCAGGCCTCAGAAACTGAACTTGCCTCTCATTCCTTTATTTGTCATTTTTGTCCATATTTGGAATTTAGAGTAGACACATCATGGAAATAAATCAATTGGTTGTGTTACCCCAGAGTTCTGTTTCTGTTTCTACTACTAATGTCTTAAATTGCTTTAGAGTTGATTTAAATTGGTAAGAGACTGTTGCAATTTGAATAGTTTTTCAGATCCCTACAAAATGAGCCCAGGTTGAATATACAGATTTTCTAATAGGCTACTGTCCATTGCATACTTACTTTGGGAGTAAGATGATTTCTTGGTTTGTTTTTTATTTGTTTGTTTTTATTGTTAAGCTAGATGCTTTCTTCTAGTTCTTCATTCTGCAGTGGAAGAAGCAATCACTTGGGATATTAATCCAAACATTATTGCCACCTAATAGAGGAGCCCATGTGGTCTAGTGGTTAGAGTGTTTTACTAAGATCTGGGAGACCAGTGTCTTCGCCTAACCTACATCGCAGGGGTGTGGGGAGGAAAACTAAGTATGCCACCTTGAGTTCCATGGAGAAAAGATGGGATATGAATGAATAAATATTATACATAATTTTGGGATCCTAATCTGATTCTTGGCCTTCTTTTCCCATACCAGGATGAACGTGAGGCCCGAGAGAATGTGAAAAGAGAACAAGATGAAGCTTACAGAATCTCTCTTGAAGCCGATAGAGCAAAGGTGTGTACAGTTCTATACTAGAGAATGTGATTTAGTGATGAATTAAGATATTTTTATGAACTCTTTTGAGACCAGGAATTACATTATGATATTAGCTTACTCGCTAGTTGAGAAAGTGTGGCGGCCATGGGTGGTGTTATTTCTAAATTTGTATCTATACACACACTCATCAATATATGCAGATTTTATGCAAATTAGAGACTTCGTTTCCCTTCCTTCTTGTGATGCATTTCTCCTTTTTCTAGTAATCCAAAAACAGCCTCCCTCTGAGAGAAACCATGAAAACTGTGGAACATTCACAGTTTGGACAACCCATATTTTGCATGGCGTAATTTGTAGGAAAATGAGGACCATTGGAATATGAGAGTGTACCTTAATGATAAATGATATCTGAAGTGACTTGTTTATTTCATCTCTGCAGAGAGAAGCACAAGAGAGAGAAATTGCAGAGCAGTTTCGTTTGGAGCAGATTAAGAAAGAACAGGAAGAAGAACGTGAGGTGAGACATTTTACCGTGAACATATAGTTAGTGGCACCCCTATGTTAATTTGCACACATAATCACAATGGCAGCGTCAAAGTAAAAATATAAATCCATCCGTGTATATTCTATTTTAAAAACTCTGCTTGCACAAAACGGCTTCTGTCCCTCTCTAAAATAAATACTGCCCATATAGGTGCACTGTTATTGTGCTACATAACCTTTCTTTTGAATACAATGGCCTTTTATAAACTGTTTTCTTACTCAGAGCTGCAGAACCAGTCCCCATTTCAACCTGCAACTGGCCTCCTCGATTTAATGCAGATTGCTATAATGAAAAGAAAATAAGATATATTTGTATAGCAATACAAAAGCATTGTTAGCCATGCTGTTTACTAACACTCCCCGTGTCCAAGTGCATGGATTACCTAGAATCTCTTGTTGTGCAATAGTGTTTGCTTACCTGACAGACGTTTGGCTTAGCCTGTCTATTTGAAAATCATCCACCCTATTCACATACTGAATATATATTTTTAATCAATAAAATGCAGATCCATGAGTTGTTAACTTTACTCTAAGCATCATTGTCCTTTAAGTTAGTCAGGTGGTGTAGAATATCCATTGTAAATAGCTATTTTTATGCTTTAGTACTGGAGACTGGTTACTTTGAGGGGGGGTGGAGTATTGTTTGCACAATGAAAACAACTCTAATGAGCTACTGTTGTTTGTTTTCCTCTGATATAATGGCTTGGGTTTAGTAAATAATGTTGCATCTGTTGTACAGCAATGGAAAATGTCAACACACAAGGATAAAAAGCAGGTGCTTGAGTAGAAAACATGGACAAAGATAATAAAAAATACTCTTTTTTTAAAAAAAAGACCACTAGACCAAAATACATTTTAAGGGTTGGTTCCACAGAAACACAAGCAGAATTCAGTTCTTGAAGAAGGGTGTTTTGGGCCCTTCCTCCCCACTAAAGCTTCCTACGCACCCCAAATAATGCTCCTGATAGTTCAGTGACCCTATGAAATGAATGGAAGAGGGTACAAGGGGGGCTGCAGTAGGAAGCTGGAATTGGGCAGAATTTGAGAGGGCTGCCTTGCACAAGCCTAAGTGCTTGGATTCATGCTTTGTCCCGTTGGTCTTTGATTCTCGTTATGATTGATATCTCAGTCGCTCATATATCTTTTCAACTTTCTGTCCACCCCAGTCCTAAACCCATTGGGCAGAATCTAAAGAAGCTTGAGCATTCTGAAGGCTGACTAAAATCATTGGAATTTTATTACTCAATTCATACATTTAAAAGAACTAGCAGGCAGCAATAGTATTTTAAATCAAATTTATTTATAAAAGGTTTGTTTAATGTAGTGCATATATTCAAAGTAGCTTCATTTCAATGGAATTATATAAATAGCAAGTCCCACTGAACTCACTGAGGCTAACTTTTGAATAACCATATATATGATTGCACTATTAGTGTATACCTGAAAAGCAGATTCAGATCAGTTAAATTAACGGTGTTATCTTGTACATGTCTGCTCAGAAATTAGCCCCACTGAGTTCAATGGGACTTGCTCCCAGAGTAAGTGTGTATATAGGATTACTCAAATCATTGTTCAGATAATTTTATTGCAGGTTTCTTTGTAAAGAGTTCAGGTGTTTTTTGCATTATCTTGTCTTGTGTATTTATTGTGTTATCTGGTCAAGCATTTTGTCTGTGAGACGGTTACAGGATTTTAATTAATTAATTAATTAGTCTAAATATTTAATGGTTTTGATTTTATGCTTTAAAAAGCAATTTGGCACTTGACAATTATTCCCTCAATCAAAATTCCCTAAGCCCTTTCTGCCCAACAATTAAATTACCTATCACCACTATGCAGTAAACTATAGGTTTAATAATGTGTTATAAGAGGAGGATTTATTTTAATTAGTTGTTTTCTGAGCTGTTATTAAGAAATGAATAAAGATGGATGTGATATTGAAATATACATCATAGAACTGCAGTGTGGAAAGGAGGTTCTTCTGACACAAGATGTCAACCTGAATACTTGGAGAAGAATTTGCTTTCCAAAAATGGGGCTTTTGCATGCTTAAAATTAGAAATAAATAAGAGAAAAGCATTTTCCTCCTGCTACTTCACTCTAGCCAAGTTTATGGAGGACAGGCCAAAGGAAACAGGACCTCCAGCACTGTCATACCTTAATAAGGACAGGACAGCACTTGACTCTTGGCAGAGTAAGAGCCAGGTACCAAGAGCTAGGAGTAAAGAGCCAGGTGCAGTGGCCCAAAGTTACAGCCTGAACTATAATTCCTTTATCATCCTTCTAAGTCAGGAGAAGTTGACAGGCAGCTTGGATGGGCTACTTCTCTTGAGTTGTAGGGTCTGTGCTGCCTTGTTCACTCAGGATGGAATCTCAGTGATAAAACTAAGGAAAGACTGTCTGCTTCCCAGGATTAGTTTATGGTTCCTAGGATCAACATAGTCATTGCTCATTGTCAGAATAGAGGTGAGTCCAGTATCTCAAAGGACACAGGAGTTGTGCATCCCATTATTTTGACCACAAACATGTGCAGGAGAGATGTGATAATAATAATAATTTTATTATTTATACCCCACCCATCTGGTTGTGTTTCCCCAGCCACTTTGGACAGCTTACAGCATATCTAAAAACATAATGAAAACATCAAGCGTTAAAAACCTCCCGATACAGGGCTGCCTTCAGATCACTTCTAAAAGTTGTGTAATTCTTTATCTCCTTGACAAGTGAAGAGAGGGAGTTCCACAGGGAGGGCGCCACCACCGAAAAGGCCCTCTGCCTGGTTCCCTGTAACTTCGCTTCTCGCAGTGAGGGGAACCAGCAGAACACCCTCGGAAGAGGACCTCGCTGAGCGATGGGGGTGGAGACACTAGATGTTGGGGAAATGTTGCCACATGTAGTAAGACAAGTTGTTTCCTAAGACAAGTTGCTTCACAGAATGTAATAGAACGTGGTCAAACATCTTGGAGAGAAGGCCTTTTTGACCATAGCAGAAAAACAACCACAAAATCAGGTGCTTGAAAGAGATTGATTTCTGGGACAATGCATCTGGGACAATTTGCAACAGGAAGAATCTACACTGGTTTATGCATTTAATTAAAATTACTATTCAAAGCTTGCCCCCGCCAAAGTCTTATTCCAAAATGTGTTAGGCCTGAAATAGCACTTGGGAGTTCCTTCCTCTCTCTTTTCCAACCATTAGCAGCCATTGATGGGACATTGAGTTAAAATTAATCAGATACAATGCAGTGGCAGTCTCAGTAACTAAGTTACAGAAAGAAAAGGGAAAGTTGCTAAAAACCTATGTGTCCTTCTTCTTTCTTCAGGCTATTAGGCTATCTCTAGAGCAGGCCTTGCCTCCAGAGCCAAAAGATGAGAGCCCGGAATCAGTGAGTAAGCTGCGTATCCGAACACCTAGTGGAGAATTCTTTGAACGACGCTTCCTTGCCAATAGCAAGCTGCAGGTTGTCTTTGATTTTGTGGCTTCCAAGGGATATCCTTGGGAAGAATTCAAGCTACTAGGGACTTTTCCCAGGAGAGACGTAAGTAAAGGAACTTCCTTTGGCATTCCTATTCTGCTTATTTATCAAGTTACAATGTATGGGTTGTTCCGCATACCTCAAGCACATACAACAGTTGTGCGTTCTAATCCGTCTGCACCATAATGATCTGCACGTAATAGTACAGCATGGATAAATTTTGTTTGTTCTAGTACTGAAAAGCTGCCACCCCTGCTCATGTGAATGCTCCCCTAGCATAGGAGTAATTAAATAGAAATGTGTATTTGAAAATGGATCTCAAAACTAAAACTGACTGCCTCCACTTCTAACATTATGTTATGCTTTGATTACTCTTGAGTATTTTGTGTGTACACATAGTTAAAATGTCCGTATTCTCCTTCAAACTGAAGTCAGTTTAACTCCATGTCATTTGTGACCATTTTGACTTGGCTCGAGAGCGGATAACATTTGTTGTTGTGTGAAAACATATCTCTGTTTGTTAGAGTGTGACATCTTTAACAGAGTCCCATATTGTGTTGTTTTTTTCACGTAGCTTGGCCCAAACTGAATTACCTTGCTTGCATATTTGCTTTTGTCGAAGCAGCAATAAGCATTCTTCTCTAATGAGTTCATGGCCTAAATGCAATAAGTCTGCCTGAAGTCACTGGGCTGCTTCACACATAACACTAAACCATAGCTTTCATGCTTTTCCGCACCCCCTTCTTGTTCTATGCGTCCATAGGAATACGTCTTCTCATTTCAATTAATCTGAGTCTGGTGTTGTGTGCCAGCCAGGGATCCTGGTTTAAAATGAATATTGGTCAGTTGCTAAACAAGCCAACTTCAAGCTGGCCATTGTTAAGCAAGCCCACTATTTGCAACTAGCAACGCGCAAGTTCTTGCTAGTTATGCCTACTACTCTGTAGTAAAAGGCTTTGGCTGCTTTCTTATTCCTCTACTGAAGTCAGTTACTGTTCTATTTTGTCCTCACCGTTTTCTCATTAAGAATATGAATTATGCTGCCATTTTTTCAGTGAGATACTCTGAAAAACCATTCGTTACTTTTGGATTAGCATATACTTGTAGCATCTGTAATCAACCTTTGTGGGGGATTTATAATTTTGTACTAAGTAACATGCATTTTTTTCCATTTTGTTTCTCATTGCGGCTGAAGAACATTCGGGGGGCACAACTTTCTGGGAAACTCTGTTTCTAAATGCTTCTAAGTATGTGGGACGCTGGCAGCTATTGTGGCATTGGGCCTTTTTTTTATTCTACAATTAGAAAGCAAAAGGGTTGGTAATCAAACTTATGCAATCAGAATAATTTGCCTAATATTACATCAGCACCCACCATGAGACAGAAATTGTTAAATTTGTGGGGAAACCTCAAACCCATTCTGAAGTCAGAACAAACTCTTCAGAATAATAAAACAAGATACAAATTTTCTAAATGAGCAGAAATTATTGCAGACATTAGAATTTGTAATGGTTGGGTTTGGAATCCTCTGTGTTCCCATCATTTAACCCCCATTCCAGCTGAGAGACTTTCCAAAGTTTCCCTAGCTTTTCACACTGCTGTTTATCAATGCTCTAGCAAGAGCTTTAAATGTTTCTCCTTCAAAGTCCTTCCACAGCATGTTCCTCAAGAAGGTTCTCCTATTACTACTTAAGGTGCTTCTGTGCTGTTTTTTTAAATATGAGAATTTGTAATCCTATGGAACAGCTGTCTAATTAAGTATTGAATACTCTTTTTTCACAGTCTGGATGATAGTGATCAGCAGTTGTAATGTAGCATCAGGTAGTTCCTTTTAATTATAAAGTTAACTCATCCTTTACACTCTGAGTTCTTCCTGCAAAATACTAGGCCATTTGACTATAATAGGCTTTTATATGGAGCTGAGTACACTCCAGGACTAATCACATAAGATTCTGTATGATTAAGGAATTGTAAATGTTAACCATTTCTTAAATGTTATGAAACACCTGCTTGCTGTAGAACAGCCTTGAGCAACTAATTTCTAATCAGTGCTGTTGTATATTTATTTATTTATTTATTTGCTTTATCCTGATGGTCTAGAGCAAGCAACAGGGTTTCTAATTATTATTTAAAACCTGATTATGTTACCCTTCATCATATCAGACTTCAGGCATAGCTGTCAAAGTTTCCCTTTTTTAAAAAGGGAAATTCCCTTATTCCAAATAGGATTTCCCTTAAAAAGGGGGGAAAAGTTGACAGCTATGGCTCAGGGCAGTGCACAACAGTGCGAGACCCTCCAGAACAACATGGGAGGGAGTGCTGCTCCCCTCTTTTCTCAAGATCAAAGGCAATATATTTTAAACAAACATATAGCTACAGTTATTAACCTTACGTACAAAGCCAGTGCTTTTTAGTACTCAAGCAAACCGCTGAAGTCTGAAAAAGTGAACTTGAGCTTAACTTCTATGGAAGTGGTTTTTTAAAATTTGAGTCCATCCCCATTCAGTTTATTCAAGGGTCTTTCTAGCCTAGTCTGCTCAAGCCTCTTCTTAACTTTGCACTTCTAACAGTATCACTATATTTAGACCGAAATCCCCTGACAGGATAAGAATAAGAATCGTAAAGTGCTCCAGATGGTGTTAATTCTTAATAATACTGAAGTACAAAAATAATGATACAACTCTGTTTTAATTTCTCTGCCCCGTTTATTATGTCTTGGGAATTTGCAGATCAAAATGAGAGACAATTCCTACAAAAAGAAAGATTTGTGCTCGTTGCCTTTGTTTGACAGGATTTCCCCCCTCAAAACAGCAAAGAAACGTGTAATAATGCAGATGAGTCAACTCTTGTAGATAGTATAAAATGTCTGTGAAGGAATCCCATTATCCGCTAATTAGGTTTATCCTCATCCAAGCATGTAATCTCATTTTCAGTGGAACCAAAGTGGAAAAAACCATTCAGAGATGGCTGCCATGTTACAGATCTTCTTCCTTCCTTGAAAAAAGCTGAAGCAAAGATTTTACACCTAAAGCGTGATGTTTCTCTAAATACCTAAAGATCTTCTTCTCTAACAGTTTTCTTACACTTTAAGAACAGTGTTACCACCTCACACAAAAGCAATTGCCTTCAGAAAGTAGCCTTTGCTTTTTTTAATTTTAAGAATAGTATTCCATTGAGTTGGATCTCTGTGGCACTGTGGAAGGAAGAATGCCATCAAATGGTGTAACCTTTTATTCAAAGTTAAGTCCCATTTGTACTCTTAGTTTAATTCTGACTGTGTAATGTTATGATCGAGTATTTATTTAACCGATTCTGAAAGGTTAAAGGGGACTTGTTGCAAGTAGTATCTGCTCATGATCTACCCTGAAAAAATACAGAAGATAATGTCCTTAGGCAACCACTTTAGCTTTGCCCCAGATAGTGTGTGAGTTGATTTAACTTACACCGTCAGTGCAATATGCTGCAGTTACTGGGGCATAAGCAGAGGGATCTGCAGCAACAGGGCAAATAGGATAGTAGTAGCTTAAGGTAGTACAAGTGTTCAGTAATTTGGATGGCTTTGATATTTTCTATGCAAAAGAGAAGCTTTGAGCAGGAAGAATATTCACAGAATCTCTGTCACTCACTCACTCACTCACTCTGTCACTCATTCACATACACATACAAACACCCAGCCATTCAGAGAATATGTGATGGCATTACTGTACCGTTTAGCCAATGAGATTTGGCTATATAATGACATCACAGAATCACTCCCTTTGCCACCACTTCAAATAGAGGGGGCAAGTATGAAGAAGCCTGCCCCTGCTTTTTACTTGGTTGGATTAAATAGTCACCTGCCTTAGCATGCTATGATAGTTTGATTGTTGATTAGTGCAACAAAATTGGCATTAGTCCAGTTGCCTCAGTAGTAGACTGGATTAGTGCAGCATTGGTCTAGTTGCCCTTAGCAATAGATTTCAAATCACATTGATTAAGAATTGTACATATTCAGCACACCCAAAATGAGATGTAATATTGCTCTTCTTGACATCTCAAATCATGGAAACTTTGAAGTGGCTCAGAATACAGCACACTGCTTTGACAAAATGGTTTTTCAGTAGCAAAATAAGAGTAAAGCCACCAGTCTAGGTATCCCAATAAATATTGAAATAGGTTCACGTCTCCAGTAAATATGAATTCATTAATTCCTTCTTGTACATTCCAGTCACTTTAACATATATCATTGACTGACAAAGTCAGTATCATAACCCTACTGTAAATACAAACTTCTACAGTAAATACAAAGATTAACTTATTCTAGAGATAACTTGTAGCTTTTAAAATATCAGTGACATCCTGAAGCACCTAAAATGGGAAAGACACTATGATAGGTATTACCTGCATTGGTGTAGAGGGTTGAGCCAATTCCTCCTTACTCTCTGACTCAAAAAAAATATACAATAAATGCTTATAACTGCATTTTGAAATCATTAACAACTTGGAGTTGTTTGCAACTGTATAACAAGATTAAAGAGCATTAGAATGCTGTGGAATACTTGTACATCCTTTGCCATTACCATTTGTTATGGTTCAAAGTTGGTGCCAGCATCTGAAAGAGAAAAGAGAGGAGAGTTCAGTGCTTGTTTCCACAGAAGTCTTAACATTGCCTGGTCCTCATTTCAGATGGTATCTAACAGCTCTATGTGCTTATTTAAAGTATGTGTTCAAATGCTCAGACGTACTTAGAAGTGCACCTAGATGCATGTTCCAACATTCACCTATATATGAGTATGCTCAAAGTAGGGATGGGGGTAGGAGCATGCATGCAAGGCTTCTTACAGTGTGCTTGCACCTGTTGCTCTCTCCTCAGTCCTCAACCCTCTCCGTGTTGAGTAGCACCAGTGTGGTGTAATGGTTAGGGTGTTGAACTAGGACCCAGGAGATCAGCGTTCCAATCCCCACTTTGCCATTTAGCTTACTGGGTGACCTTGGACCAGTCACTGCCTCAGCTTAACCTACTCGACAGGGTGGTTGTGAGGATTAATTTAGGAAGGGGAGAACCATGTACACCACCTTGAGTATAAAGTCTTGCACAATCTGTTTCAAAGTTCCTGGTTTTGTGAAGAGTAGAAGCACCCTGCAGACCTTCCTCACTTAGAGGGCTCAGTCCCTGGCTTTCCCTCTGCTATGACAAGGTGAAAGGTGATGTGGGAGGCTGCAGGGTGAATGGCAGGCCAACCAAAATTGCCTTCCCTCCTCTTCCATTTACAAAAACATCAATCAGTCAGTCAAAAGATCTTCAGTGAGTGGAAGAACAGCAATTCCATGTAATTAGACATATATGATGCAGAAAATCTCCAAAGCAGAAGGAAATTGTTCACCCATTAAAAAAAATATCCAAAAGAAACAGTGCAGTAGTATCTTTATGAGGACCAACTAAAAGATCTTAGAGAAGTGAGCAAGCCATCGAAAACTTGAAAGCTTGATCACTTTTTGTGACCTTTTAGTTGGCTCTAATAAAGATAATGTTTGACTGTTTCTTTTACCTGTGAGAAATGATATCCTTTTATTGCCAAGGTGACAACTCAAGAGAGGTGGAGTTGACCACTCAAGAGAGGTTATGACACTGGGTTTTTGTATGGCATTTGAAACACAGACAAGGCTCCTTCACATCTCCCAAGAGCTCTGGCATGTCTTAACAGTCTGCACCTGCAATTTTCCTTTGTAATAAAAATTAAACCCTGTTTTTTTCCTGCCCTGCATTTCCTCTTTAAATGTACACCAGTGAATTCCATTTATCAGAGAGTATGTCTTTTACAGACTGTGTACTGGGGACTTAAGCTCTTTATTTACTGTATCTGGAAGCCTTAGTAAGCTAGGACGTCTACAGTATTTCACATTTATTTATCTGAGCTGTAGCTTAGGATCAGGTGGCAGTTAAGTCACTTAAGGTTATTCAAATGCATCTAAAATGTTGCTTAATAATTCAGAACCAGTTTGCTCTGTTTAGAGTATTATGCTTTTAAAAATCCCTTTAATTAGTCAATTCCAACAGCAGTTTAAATAAACAAGAGGGGGGGGGTAACTATCTCTCTTTCCTCCCTTACAAAGGAGTAGTTAAAATAAATTTAATCTGACTGAAATAATATAGTTCATCCACTCAAGAGAAGGATTTAGGCTGGTTTAGAGCCAGATTGTGTCTAGCAATGGCATGACTATAAAATACAGGTTAAAGATTAAAAACACTTCCGCCTTCACCCTTCTTCCCTTTCCTTGGTTTTGTTTTTGGTAAGAAGCAGGTGTTGGTGTTGTTTTCTACAGTTTATGCACTAGAGAGGGGAGCTTGATGTTTCAAGCAAGAAGCTATATTGCAATGTGTATCATATTTCTGAATACAGGAATTGTGTATTTCTGAATTAGTCTACTATCCACAGTAACCATCAGGATACCTATGGAAGGAAGGACTATGCTGTTATTTGTCTCTAATATTTGATATTCGAATGCTTACTGCTGTTGACCATGCACAATTTGTTTTTGTTTATGCTTTCATGACTAATTGTCATTGATCTAGCTTCCATAATTTTGTTGATAATTCTTTTTTTTAAATCCATCTATGTTAGCAGCCAGAATAACAACTTGCATTAGTAATTTCTATACATTTATGGAAAAAAGTTTTCCTTTAATCTGTCTTGAACCCACTACCAATGATCCCAGACATACTTTTAGTAACATGATAAAGACAAATCTCCCTCTTCTGTATTGACACTTTTCATAATATATGTCTACACAGAAATAAGTCCCAATGAGTGAGTATATGATTGCAACCTGCCACCTTTTTATAAATTGCTTTAGAGCTGAAAAGAAATATTGAATAGTCTAAGCTGAGTGCCAAATACTCAGTAGGCATCTTAATTTGACAGTTCGTTTCTCAGAAAATGACCAACTAAACATGTTGAACACTACATACAGCTGTCTACAAGATGAAAGTATTCTGTTCAAATGCACCACCAGTCTCTTCTCTCTTCCACCCACCCCCAATTTTCACTATGGTCCTTTCTCTCAACTGGTTTCAAACTTTATTTGATTAGTGTGTTGTCTGATCATTCTCAGACGGTGCCGGGGGAAGTTGCCTCTTTGGATCACCTGTTAAACAATCTTGGGGTGTGTGCATATGTGTTATTTTTTTCTCATGCTTAGCTTTTATTTTATGAATTTTTGCTAGAAGAAAGAAAGTGTAGTAGCAAAATGCCAAGAAATAGCCTTGGCAACATTAAGATATTAACATTGCTGTGTCTGCTAACTAGAAAATTTAATGATCTCCTGCTGTTTTGGTAATTGGACAAGTAAATGCATCTTAATAAGGCTCTGATCCTCAAAGTGATCCTTCAGCTCTAGCCCTGTTCATTCCGATGGGGTTTGCACTGCCAGAACTCTTTAAGAATCTGTAAATTGCCACTGCATTTTTGTATACATGTTATTGATTTAATCTGTATATCAGTCAGTCATATTGTAGCATCTGCACATCTTCTGTTCACCATTCTAAATGTTTTAGAAACACCTCCCTACATTGATAACTAGAAATGTGCATTCAAATTAAAGGCCAATCCCTTCTTAGCATACAATCTATATTTAGTCCTCTGTGTCTCAAACTCTGTTTGGTTTGAAAACATTCATATATAGCTTTTTTCATAGTTCAGCACAGGTACTTTCACTTATGGCTTCAGAGATTCTCATGCTCAGAAAATTGAGGGAATAAAATATTTTCTTAGCATCTTACAATGCATATATGTTAACTGTTAAACTGAAATAATTCAGAAGCCTATAAAGTGAGTGCATAGTGCACTGACCTTTAACAACCCACAGAGGAAAATGTTACACTAGATTCCATTTTAGAAGCACTCAAAATTCACAGTTGTCGTCATCATTATCAACATTCCTCAGCAAAATCATTGTGCCAGCTGTTGTCCTTGACAACTGTAAAAATGAAGTGCCAGTGTAAAGTTTCCAAAACATAAACATATTCTTTTGGTTAAATTAATATCCCAAGCTTCCTCCCAAAGGAGCTCAGGGTGATAAAACAATAAAGATGAACAATAAAATAGATGGATAATAAAAGTTGAAACACTGTATAATTCTACTAAATATTTCCTCCAAATACTATGAAAAGTCCCAGTTTTCAAGAAACTGGAAAAAAACCTCTTAAATCTCATATGAGGCTACTTTGGTTCTTCCCATTTTGTCTTGTTGCTAATGCTTACAATGTTGTTCTGTTTGTCGCAAATGGGTAAATATCTTGTAACAGAAACCAAACAATCTCTTCATCTGAATAGTTTGTTAAACTAGACAAAATGTCTGAATAGGTTGTCAAACTAGACAAAATGTTTAAAGGAATTTTCCCTTGGACCATCACATAAAGGACATTTCACTACATTCTCCACCTGTTTCAAATTCCAGATGCAAATCCATTGGGAGACAGGTATCTACTATCCAGAAGGCATAATCTATAGGCGTTCTAGAAGAGCCCAAAAGAGAAGGGAAACCTTCTGTTCTTCTAGATTTCTACATGTGCCAAAATGGCCTTTAAGTAGTTTGCAACTATAAAATCCATCCAAAATTAAAATACACAATAGAAATTCCATCAGAGCATTAAATTAAAAATTATAAACCTTTTAAGAAATTTCTTCAAGCCTAGGTGAGTAAAAGACAGTAGTACCAAGCTATTTGCATACATTGATTCAAATGTTTCTCCCATGTGTTGCAGGGGAGCATGCATCCTAGGTTTCCAGTCTATGGACTATGTCATGTGTTTAGATGTCATTTATGTATGATAGGTGTGAATAGGCAGCCGGCTTTACTCCTCTATTGACCATCATGTGTTCGGTGAGATTCCTCTGCACCATACCTCACTCCTTATATTAGGGTTGCCATATTCCCAAAGGTGAAAATCCAGACAAAGTTGCTGAGCTTTCGGGGGGAACATCTCCCCCCCCCCAATATCATTTTGGGGCTTTCCTTTTATTTTCCCTGATTATTATTATTTTTAAAAATAGCTCTACTTACCATACATCTGGGTTTTCCTGGACATTTTGCCAATTCAGCAAAAATCTGCCTGGATGCCACTTAGCATATTGATTTCAGGACGTGTCCAATTAGACCCTGTAAAATAAGGAATAGAACAAATGTGCTATAATTTCCCCTGAAACTTGTTTATTCCTCATAAATCCTTTTCTATCACCCATGCTTATAATTTTTGGCCAGAAAAAAAACCATTTGCACAACTTAGCTTACACATCTGCAAGACTGACAGGTCTTAGTGGACTGCTTTTTAATAGATTTTTATCCCACACCCTTCTTCCCCAAAGAAGCCCAAGGTGACAAATAACAAACCATCAAAAACATTTTTTAAAGAACATTCATGCTGAAAATATGTATAACTGAACTCGTGCAACTCCTTCTTTCCTAAACAGTATTTTTAAAACGTGACTTTGAATCAGTTGGAGCTGTCTCCTTCAAAAGCTCATTTCTGGTAGCACTGTTGTAAACTAGACTTCCGCAACCTGGTGCCCTCCATGACTACAGCTAGCATCTCCATGACCATTGCCTATGCTGGCTAAGGCTGGTGGGACTTGTGAGTCAAAAATCTTTGGTGGTCACCAAGTTGAGGGAGAGGGTATTGTAAAGAATCTGTTTATTTATTTGATTTCTTGTGCCCCCTTTACTGTATAATAAAATATACAACTACTGTATAAAACAAAACAGTTGACAACCATAAAACAAAAAAGTGTAAAAACATTTTAGAACATTTCCTTATATAAAACAATACAAACCTTTGGAGACTATTTTATGTAACATCAAATCGATGCAAACCATTTTTATTGTTATTACCTGCCCTTCACCCTAAGGTCCCAGGGCAGGCTACAGTAATGATTTTTCTAACCATAAATATTTTATCTAAAGGAAGGGCTGTCTTAATCAAATTTCCTCAAGATGTAATTGTATTGAAGTACTATAATATTTATTTTTATTTAATTAGAATAAATATAGTTGATTGGTCATAGACTTACGTGATTCCTAGTCTTAAAATTCACACACACATTCAATTTGAATAACCCAGTTGTTTTAAAGTGTTGTATTATGACCAGCATTGTTTAAAAAAATCCATTTTTATTAAAGTACACATTATATATTTCTTTTTCCATTATTCTTGGACATTTCACAGTGCCAATAAAAACCATTGGCAGATGAGTGTTGCTAAATCAGATCAAATTGCACCTCTTCAAAGTGTGTGTTTATTTGGACCCTTGTTTGAAGCTCTTAATTACAGAATCCTAGTATACGTAGAGATTATTATTTTATCAGACAGAATGAATTGACTGTTCTCGTTTGTGTCATACTGAGATAATACAGATTTTGAAAAAGATTTTGTCCTCCACCAGGTGTGCATTTAAGTGATTTTCACAGCACTTACACCTTGATAAGGGGGATTAGGAAAGAAAGTTAAAGGATTCTTTGTCCACTAGATTCACCAGAGTAATTCAAGCATGTGTAAATGGCAAAGGAAGTTTGCCTGCCCTGCTTGAGAACAGAATCCTGTTCTAGGGCGTGAACGAAAGTAATGAGTATGATCCTTGTTACTCATGTTTGACTTACAATAGTTGTATATTCCTATCATTACTTTAAATGACCTGACTAGGCTGCTTGCCATTATTTCACTTTACATTTTATTCCTGGATCAGTGTGCATAAGGAGCTGTATGTAGGAAGCAGTAAATTGCTGTCGTACAGGGTGTGAGCATTTGGTGTTATGTGCAGGGTCAGCTAAGGTGAATATGTAAATAGGGGTTTGGAGAGGATGAGCTCTATTAAGAAATGTATTTGAATACAAATCCACTATACTGATAGAAGCCCTAGAAAATCAATCAGTCATTCAGTCAATCATTTATTTGTATGCTGCCTTCCCAAAGTTCAAACCATGCTCTCGGTGACTTAAAACATACAAACATAACAAAAGCAGTAATAAACAATAAAGAAAACATCAAAAGTACACAACCAAATTGAACAATTTCCATATAAATCATAAGAGCCTAAATATACAAAAATTTAATATATATAAAAAAACCTAAATCATACCCCAACCCAAGAAAACACTGTGGATCCTGTCCACAGTCCACTGAAAGTGACTGGAGACTTTCTATTGGCTTCTAATGGTATTACTGTTTCAGCCATTGTAGCCTAAATAACTTTACCCAGAGGTATGGTGCTTCAAATTGGAACGGAGCTTTAACATAGGGAGCCATATTTTGCTGGTTATTATCTGCCCAACAATGGGGGTGGACCACAGAATATATCAGCTACTATTCTCCTAGCAATTCCAGTATGATTCAGAACTTACTTTCTTTCTATTGATTTTCCCCCTCAATGCAAATGTTTACCAGCATCTTACAATATAGGTAAGGTAAAGGTAAATAACCCTTGGGCAGTAAGTCCAGTCAAAAGTGACTATGGGGTGCAGCGCTCATCTTGCTTCAGGCCAAGGGCTTTTGACCACAGAGAGCTTTCCGGGTCATGTGACCAGCATGACTAAACAGCTTCTGGCGCAACCTAACACCGTGACAGAAGCCAGAGCACACACCTTTCTGACACAATGGTACCTATTTATCTTCTCGCACTGGTATGCTTTCGAACTGCTAGGTTGGCAGAAGCTGGGACCGAGCAACGGGAGCTCACCTTGTCATGGATTAGACCACAGCGCCACCCGTGTCCCCTTCTTACAATATATGATACAATGGAATGATAAGAACCGGGATAATTTTAGTTACTTTAGTTGATAGTATATTGTACCCTTAAGTTATTGAATACATTTACATGTCTACTATTTGAGTAATTCTTCTTTATATATAAATACTATTTAACCATCAGCCTCAATGTTTCTCAAACTGGGGTCCCCAGCTGTTGTTGCACTACAAGCCCCTTCATTCCTGGTCACTGAGCTGAATATAATGCCCATACAACAAAGTTTCTTGGATGAAAAGGGAGATTGTGAAGGTTACAGCCAAATCCACAGTCAAGAGGAAAAGACCATACGTGACAACCCTTCAAGTGCCCTAGGAAAGCCAGGGACTAATAAGAGAAATTTAAAATTTAAGGATGATTCTCCCAAGATTGACTCTACCAAGATGAGGTCTTTGGACAAGCTGCAGGTGGTCATATCTAATTGGCTAATAATGAATCCCAGCGGCTCACTGCTAACTGAGGTTGAACTGTAGGCGGAAATACAAGCCATTTTAGGGATGTCCCTAATATTAGGAAATGGCTTTTGATGTAAATATTTGAGCCTTCAGGAGAAATGTGGTAGTATTGAACTTATGGTAATTTTCAGGACGTAGAAGTGTGGGATAAATTATGGTGTTTGATTTACTTGTTTGCCAACAGAGAACTGTTATTTGAAATAAAAGAATGTAAAAATAACTTTGCAGGGCGTCAGATCAGAGGTACACACACACACACACACACACACACACACACGGTATCAGGTATCAGAAAGTGGTGAAGAGGGCATGGGAGGGAAGAAGACCATGTTCATGAAGACAGTTCTTGCTGTCATCCTGGATACAATTTCAGGAGGAAAGTACTGCCTGAATATGCCCAGAGATAACTTGTTTCTAATTCTCCTTTCAGTTGTTGCTGCTTTCAGGTTTTTTGCTTGCCATCTAAAGCCTATCTTTTGGTCAGAGGAGTGATAATAAAGCTTCTGTTTTCCATGCTAAAGCAACATATTTACATACTACAAATAACAAAGTAAATGCTGCAGACGGGATCTGGCGTGATAATTAAGTACAATGGCGACCCATATGAACAGAAAATGCCAAGCAGCTAAAACAAAGCAACAACAGCTTTGTTTGTTGACAGGTGTAGGAGCCATATTGTTAGTTAATTGGGTAATGGTGTAAACATTTGCAAACTCTGCAGTCCCTAGGTGAATTAAAAAACCAGCAGGCACACTGAAATCAAGGGTGAAAAGCAGCAAACCTCCTCTTAGCACAGGTACTCAGCTAACCTCCAAAGTTGAAAACACTTGAGAAAAGGACATCGTTGATAGTTGTTATTAAGGGTAACTTGAGTTTGTAAACCCAAGAGTTCCGATTAGGATGTGCATCCTTAATTACACTCAAGTGAATAATAGGTTTCCATCTGGTTACAGTCTGGAGGATAGTGTTCATTAACCCAGCCTCGCTTTTCAAACCAGTTTTCGCCTGATACACAGAAGACATTCTCACTCTACTTACCTTTCCTTGCTTTTGCAATAAAGGGGTTATGGGATTTGGAAAGTGAGTGGATTTAATTAGATACAGACTTGAACTGAACAGAGAAAGCAAATTGCTTTTCTCAGGTGCACAGTACCTCTTGTCCAAAGAATGGTTCAGCACTGTAGCAGTGAAATGCTAAAGGCTTTAAATATGAAACAAAAAGCTTCATTATTAGGCTTCTGTAAGTGCAAAACAGAATTCAGAGTCGCAGTAGTTTTATAAAACATATTTTCTAAGATAGTTTCTTCCCATTCATTTTAAGTGGTATGTTCTTTGGAGAAAATGCTATACTTTGTAGAAAATGCTATCTCACAAATCCTTTTTAATGGGCTTTTAAAACATTTTATAATCTCGAGCATTCATGGTATGGTGTTATGACATATTTATGTATGTGGTAGAATCTAGTTGGTGTCATTCTGCTGACAAAAGGCACGCATCAGTGGAACAGGGAGGAATAGAAAGTTAGGTGCTCCCTTCCCCTCCCAAAGACCACCACTCCATCTGAAATCTGCCTCGGAAGGTCCCCCAACCCCCAGAAAATTCCTTCCTCCCTGTTCTGCTGACAGATGCCTTCCATCAGTGGAGCGTCACCAAGTGCAACAAGCAGTATAGAATTTAAAATACTAACCATCCAAACAAAATAAAATCAATTCAATTTTAAAAACACAGAAAAATGGAACGGTTGAAACAAAGCTAGAACACCAGTGGAAGGGCTGAGGTGGGGTATAACACTAGGAATGAGACTCAAGTAACAATGGTAGGGAACTATCTTTTTTCTGTTCACAAAGCGGGACTTCAGCAACTACTGGAACTTGATTTGTTCAGTAATGCCTGACATAAAATTGCCCTGTGTTTGTGAGCAGTAGACAGTTACTACTTATTTCAAATTTTAATGCACCCTATGTGGTTACACGCTTGAGCCTTTGATTGCAGCTACATATTCCAATGCAGTTATTCATCATCCCACAATTCACTGCCCATGGACAGTCTGCCAGTAAAAACAAGTTTTGAATACAGAGTATGAGCGGGAGAGGGGGGAATGGCAATCTGGTCTAACAAAACATGTATTTAATGTTTTCAGGTGAGACCCTATCCTAAAAGCTCAAATTGTAATTGCTGGGAAGGTATACTGTATACTTCTACACAAAAGTGTACATGCATATTGTAGTAGAGCTGTGCTCTGTTCTAATGTATGTGTTTCACTAGACAGCAATTGTTGGTAAATCATACAGTATGGTTTCACAGGTGTGGATAAACAATTAAATCACTCTCCTAGAGTTTCCAGTAATATATCTTTTCAAGCCCAGATTTTAAACTTGGAAAATGTAATCATATCCAAGCACTATTGGGGAAAGAAAGTCAATGGAATTTAAGCATGGAGTGAGCTGAATGGATTTGTCAATTACTGTCATACGTAATGTTACAGCCGCTTCAGGTTACTTGTTTTCGGGTTGCGGACTGCGGGAAACCTGTACAGGAGTACAGGGACAGGTTACTTCCGGGTTTCGCCGCATGCGCAGAAGCGCCAAATCATGCCTGCACAGACGCGGCGCTTCAGGATGCGAAAACTGCAGGTTGCGTACGTGCCTCCATCACGGATTACGTCCGCAACCCGAGGTTCCACTGTACATAGGTGACATGCTCTCTGCAATGCACTGCAAAATCAAATTGCAATTATTAGAGGATGTCTAAGCCATTTACATATTTGAAACACCAATTAAATTAAGTGAGTATTTTGGGTCTATATAGAAAAAAGTGCTAGGCATGTCGTTTCTGTCCTGTGTACCTGTAAGATTCCAATAATCTCACAAACATAACAACTGCATTGACAAATGCTGATAGATTCTCTAAATAAAGAAAATAAGAGACCTTTTGCCAGGTGATACAAAATGCAACTTACAATAAACCTATCTTTCTTGCAGCCCATTGCAAATATATACATATTCTTATGTATGAATTGATGCTATTTTCCTGAATGTTATAAGTAAAAAAATTAAAAGGCCCTAAAATAGTTATCAGTCTGCTTTTGAAAATGTATATGACGGCTACCTGTACTTGTTTTTTCATGTTTTTTTCTCTTATTTTTTTTGTCTTCACAGGTGACCCAGCTGGATCCAAATAAATCATTACTGGAATTAAAATTGTACCCTCAAGAAACACTTTTCCTAGAGGCAAAAGAATAGATCGAGCCAGATTGGAGGACTAAGCAATCCTTTGATAATGAACGAGGCACGGTGAACGCTTTATCCAAATCACCGTGTACTGTCATTTAACTCAAAAATCAATGTCACAACTCTGCCTCTTTCAAGAAGCCGGAAAGGAAGAATAAACATAGCTCCTTAAAAGTTTTCCATACATGAGTATATGTTTCCAACCTCATTTAAATGAGCAGAAAAGAAATATTCTGCAGTAAACACTGAACACTATGACTCTGTTGCTCACTTACCATCTGGCTTTTGTTATAATTAATGCACTGTTAAAATGTGAGTGATTGTCAAGTAGAATTTTTACTCCTCAATTACCCCCTTTTCACCAAGAATTCTTGGACATTTCTGCCTGTACTTTTGACACTAGAATACTGTATATTTGATATTTCGGTGAACCAGTGCTCTCATATATATGCATTTTCTTCCTGTGTTTGAATTTCTACTTCACCACCTAATTTTTTTAAAAAGGCAGAAAATCAACACATGGGACATTTTCAGCCTTGGAGATTTAACAGTATTATAGTAGTAGAAAGCAGAAACCTTTTTTTGTTTTGTTTTGTTGGTACTTTCTGACTCCTTTCATAAGATGTAAGGTTTTGTTTGGAGAATATAGTTTGACATATATGCAAGATATTTATTTACCTTTTTCCCCTTTTGGATCTCAGTTCCAATTCAGTTTAGGGAGTACTTTCCATTACACTGCAGTGTGCTGAACTGCTGATGATATGAATATCTAAATAATGTTCAGAAGTGAGCCAGTGCTAAATAACTGGTATCTAGCTGATAGTTCAGTAATAAGTTGACATTGACTACCAGCCTCTAAAAGTGTTTCAAATAGCAAACACACATTTTATTTTATGCTCATCATTGTGGAAGAAATTACAGGAACCCTTCTCTCTGCCCTTTATTTCCTTTTTGCTTCCTTTCATTCTGGCACTTGTTTGTATTTTTTTTCTGCTGTTTTAAAGCACCTTGTTTATTTCACCAAACAATAAAAATGTAAAATTACAGTGTATTAAGAAATCTTCCTCATTGCATTTTCATTATTGATCCTGGTACCCAGGGAACTGGTACCCAGGGAACTGGTTCTGAAGCCTGAATTATACAAACCAGCCCAACTATACCTGCTGCCTAAAATTTATCAAAATAATTTTATAAGCTTTTTGTTTTTTTAAAAAAGCAACAAAAATCTAGGTGTAGGGTATAGCATTTGAGAGCACCACAGAAACATCAGCTACTAAACAGATCATTGGTTTTTCTGCATATAACCCAAGATTGTATCAAAGTATGAAGATTTAATATGAATCAGAAACAAACGTATAAACATTGTCAGTGGTGCTCTGCTTTTCAGAATGTTGGATATATGAAATTAGTGTATGATTATTAGGTGGCTAGTAAAGCCGATATATTATTTTTTACCAAAAATGCAAAATGTGGATGGGGGAGTCTTCTAAAACAATTACGTTAGTGAATGCACACAGGACATACACAGTGATGTATTCATGTCACACTATTTCATGCCCCCCCCACAGTACATGAAACTCAACATTAGACAATATGGAATGTATTGGAAAGATCCAGCTTCTTACCTTAATTGAAAAGCTATACAAGTTGCAAACAGAAGAAATGTAAAAACAAATTCCACACATAAGTAGGAAGAATGAAATCTACTCCAAGTTAAAAGCCCCATGCAGTTTAATTAGAGACAGTTAAGGTCATGCTTAACCCTTCCAATGGAATGAATGGAACTGTGGTCTACCACTTGTTTCTGCATCAAAATTTTCTCTGAAGCAAGTGGATTCTGAATTGTGCCCTTAATTAGCATTCATCTGCAAATGTTCATTTAGATTGTTGTCAACCATACTTCTAATGAGTGGGCTTGCTGAAATATTGATATGCATTAGCATGGTTTTCACATCACATTAATGGTTTAATGTGAACATGCAGCATGCTAGTGCATGGTGCTCAAACGTTCTTGCTCTGTTGCTCCCCTGCTCCTGCTGCTGCTGCTGCCATGCCACTACGAAACAAGCCAGAGTCTGACTTGCTGTGACATCCAAACCTAGGTTCACAGTTTGTTTCTCTCTAAATTCTGGCTTGTTTTTCCAGCAGTGTAGCAGAAGCAGAGGAGAATTTTCCAGTGCTATGTACCAGCACACTGCATGTTCATTTTTATGTATGGTTTAATGTGATGTGGAAACCAGATAATTGTATAGAATATTTTTTAAATTATCTTTATCTTATATAAGAAGTTTCATTTGTGAGATCATCGTGCTGTTTTTATCTTCTTCAGCTTTATTTTTTATATTTTGGCTACATATTTCCCTATTAATTTATTAAATGTCGTTTAATCTTCCTGTGACGTATTTTATACCATGCTTCCATTTTACCCATCTCAACATCAACATTTGTTTACTTATTTCTTTTCATCTCGCATGATCTCATAATCAAGTCGCAAATGCACCCAAATGATTGACAGGAATAGCAGTTCGAGGTTTTAAAGGTAGTTTCCTATACTCTTCCACAACTTGATCTGAATTTGTGGATATGTTTATGCTGTGTGGTTGGTTGGTTGGTTGGTTGGTTAGTGAATGTATACATCCAGCATGAAACTGGCTGTAGGCTTCTGTTGTGCCAATTCGGTTGCAATTTTCTCCATGTAAAATTAATTCCACCTGCTGTTCACTTTTGAGTCTATGAGGCATTGTCTTGGAGGACTGCAAGAATGCATATCTTCCTATTGAAATAAAATATTGCTAATGATTGGTTTATTCCTAACATTTGGATTTTTAGGAACACAAACCTCTGTAATCAAAAATATGGGCCCATAATGCTGCTTGTTGTTCATGTAGCAATAGTATTTAATGACAATTTTATATGTGCCCATTTTTTCTCTGTTTCAAAGCCACCGTATTAGTCACAGTTTCTTTGCTGATATCAATTCACCAGCCCTTTATATTCAATATGCAAGCTGTTATCCCCACCCAACTGTTACATTGTTACGGTGGATCATATCTTTGATTCCACTTTTACATTGTCAGGTCCCTCATATTAATGGATTATCATTAATGTCTTGAATGCATTAGTATTAAATCCTAAGGCATCATTGTTGTCAATTAATGGAAACTTGTAACAAAGTGTTCCTTTTTGTGTCTATTATCCCATTCAGTATGATGGGGAAAGCGGGAGGATCCCTGGCAGCAGCAAGTGCTGCCTCCGATGTACCTCCTCATTTTTACATTGCTGTTTAAACTGATATTAGAGGTTATGCAAAACCCAAATGTCTCCTCTGTATTCTCTTCACCTACACTCTTTACATTTAATGGGGGTGAGTTTTTATGGAACCGCCTTAAAAAAAAAAAGATGTAGCAGAACAGGACGACAGCTTTCATAAATTGTACTTTTTCAGTGACATTAGAAACATTAAATAAATTTGCAGTTACACTGAAGTTTCTACTAAAATCTAGTTTACCTTTGTCTTGGAAGAGTCCATGGTTGTTCTTTCATTCCTCTCCATAACTAAGAGAAATAATGTCTTTTTTCCAAGATCAAACACTAAGTAGTCCAGGGATGAACAGCGTAGCCTTCCTTGTGTTTGATGGGGCTTTTGAAGGCACAACGAGGATATAAGTATGATATAGTGTATTCCCATATACTTCGGGTTTGTTTATAATTTTTATCAAGGCAACAGTTTGGCATGTTAGATCTGGGCTGCAGTCCAGCTCTACTTGCACATCACTAGTTCTGCACAACTACTTCTTTTAATTTCTAATAAAATTATGTATCATACCTTTCGAAATGTGTTTTTACTCAAAACAGTTTACAAACAAGTATTGTGATAAGAGCACCATTTCAGTGTGCTGGACACAGACAGGAACATGCATCCATATTTACATACAAAGACTCAACTAGTCAATTCAGTGTGATATTTGCTTACATCAACCTCCCCCTTAAAATAATATGGCCCAAATACAAGTAAACAGTTCTGCCAGCTGAATGAGTTTTAGCTGTGTAGTGGAACTTCCTTGTACCCCTTAAATCTGTTCCATCCCTTAAATCTGTTTCCCCAATCCTCCAGAGCAGATTTACAGTGTGTGTAAAGAGAAAAGAGGGCAGGAAGTTCCACTGTGCAGCTAAAACACTGACTAGTGGAACTACTTAGTTGGCTACTCCCCCCCCCCAAAAAATACATTTTTAAAGGGCACAGCACTAAAAAGAAAAACACTGGTGCCTCTGGGCCCCAACAAAGCTTTTGAGGGCAATTAAGACAGAGGCTGCTACCATGGGTGTAGCCAGGATTTTTGTTAGGGGTGTAGGCTTTTGTTGGAGGGTAGAACCTCAGATTTGTATTGGTTTTTACTGATTTAGATGGGCATCAGCCCCCCCTTGGCTACACCCATGGCTGTTACTGCTGATCCGCCTAGTGCAGTGATGGCCAAACTTGGCCCTCCCGCTGTTTTGGGACTACAATTCCCATCATCCCTGACCACTGGTCCTGTTAGCTAGGGATGACGGGGGTTGTAGTCCCAAAACAGCGCGAGGGCCAAGTTTGGCCATCACTGGTCTAGTGCTTCTGTTCTCATTGCCAGCCTGCTCACAGCCATCCATTCCCGGTGCCGCTTCTCAACAACATCCATCCTGCCCCCCAGTAGGTTGTGGGGAGCATTAGGGTATTGCAGGGAGGAAAATCCAGGGGGAATTCCAAATATTTGGCAGGCTCTGATTTTCTGCAGTGCAGGTGTGTATCCAGATGTAAATCTGTATCTACCTTTGCATGAGCCGAAACCTGCTTTCTTGCACGCATCCCTTGCTGACTATGTTTCAAGAAACTGATGTTCTTGGGGCTAGCCTGTTGCAGTCTTCTGCAATATTCCTACATGTACCGTATTTTTCGCTCCATAAGACGCACCTGACCATAAGACGCACCTAGTTTTTAGAGGGGGGATGCAAGAAAAAAAATATTTTTAAAGGGAGCGCTGAGCAGAGCCTGTATGCATCCCAGGCTCTGCTCAGCGCTCCCTTTCCCGAGCCACGTGGAGCCTGTGTGCGGTGCTTGCAGGCTTTTCCCCAGCAGGGAGAAGGGCAGCCCATCACTGATGGGCTGCCCTTCTCCTTCCTCAGAGAAAAGCCCCCAAGAGCCGCACACATGCTTCACGTGGCTTGTGTGGGGGTGGGGGCTTTTCCAGGAGGTGGGGGAAGGGACTAAGGGGCTGCCCTCTGTCCCTTCCCCCACCTCCCACAAAAGCCCGCAAGAGCCGGGCGCTCTTTAAAGAGTGCATGGCTCTTGGGGGCTTTTGCAAGAGGTCGGGGAATTCCCCCACCTTGTAGAAAAGCCAACAAGAGCCTCACACTCTTTAAAGGGAGCGCAGCCCTTGCTGGCTTTTCTACAAGGTGGGAGGACAGCCCGTAGTGACAGGCTGCCCTTTTCCCTCCTCGGGGAAAAGCCCACAAGAGCCGCGTGGAGCATGTGTGCAGCTCTTGGGGGCTTTTCCCGCCTGCCTCCGCTCCATAAGACGCACACACATTTCCCCTTACTTTTTAGGTGGGAAAAAGTGTGTCTTATGGAGTGAAAAATACGGTACTTAAGTAGCAATAAATGTGTACAGTGGTACCTCAGGTTAAGTACTTAATTCGTTCTGGAGGTCCGTTCTTAACCTGAAACTGTTCTTAACCTGAAGCACCACTTAAGCTAATGGGGCCTCCTGCTGCTGCCGCGCCACCGGAGCATGATTTCTGTTCTCATCCTGAAGCATCCTGAAGCATCCTGTTCTCATCGTGTTACCAAGAGGAAATCTTCCATCAAGCCACTTAACAGAAGTGAACCTGCTCAGCTTCCCTTTGTGCCCTAAGCCACTTTACACAAAGTTTGTGCGCAAGAGGTTGGGAAAATGTTTTTCCAACACTGCACAGAAAGTTGCAAATATGTTGCAGCTCTCAGAAAATACTTCTATGTGTTTGTATAGTTCCACTTGCTCAGAGGAGACTGGCAGTTTGTTGTACATTGGCTACACTTGTATTTTTAAAAAAGGCAATAGTAAAAAGATAAGATTTAAAGGTTTTATTGAATACCAAAACTCAGTGGGCCAAGTAAATGTTAACTGGAAGAGAGTTCCATAAAATGGAGCCACCACTGAGAAAGCCCTGTCTTGTGTGCTCATCGACCATGCTGATTTCACAATAGGCACACATGGCAAGACCTCTAATGCAGATCTTAGATTACAGGCAAGGAGCGATGGATGTAGGCTCTCCTTAGGTAACCAGGTGGCAAACTGCTTTAAGTCTCTAACTGCCAGGAAATTAAGGATAAAAATGGATCAAATCTAAAACCTATCAGCATTGTTTGGGGGCCTTTGTCTTTTAATGAAGGCTTTATAGTCCATGTTCACCCTGAATGTCAATGATCTACACCCAACTTGCAGGAACATATTGGTATATTAAGATTTATTTAAATCATTTCAGGGTTTTTTCATGGAAAGAGCCTGTTGCTTTCAATCTTGCTCGGTTTCATGATGTTACTTTTGTTTATCCATTCAGTGTGGATGTTGCAATTTATATTTGTATCTAAACCAATAGGTTTCGGGCTTACTGTATTTGCTGTGCTTTTTTAAGGGGTTGGACTGAATAGAAATTAAGGTGGTATGTCATATGGGTCCCATTTGAATGCTATTAATAATCTTCTAAAATGCAGAACTTGTATTTCCTCTAGATGCTCAATGTAACCCCAAAAGTCACTTCTCTCTTTGACAGAAGCCAGACACATTTTGGAACCCCAAAAGTCCATTGGTGAAGAGGCCTGTCCAGACTGCAAGTCATTTATTTCTGTTGGCTAATAATACCAAGTGCTCATCTGAAGTCTAAACAGCATTGTTCCATTTTAACTGTAGTGGACCTAATCTCAAAAGGTTTCCTCAGTCTATCAGAAAGGCCAGATGGCTATCTGAACCACAGAAGACACCCTTCTCCTTTGGATGAAGTCCCATCAGTCTCCAGACCCCAAGGGCAACCCCACTGATCTGTCTATTCTTGAACTACCAACACCCTTAAGAATTTTCACCTCAGTCTGAAGTAGGCTCACTCAGGGTGACTCTCCTACAATTCAAACACCCCCATCCGACTACAGCAAACCTACAAAGTTTGCTACCAAGCCACACAATCCTGATACTACACTTGGGAACCAGGAAGAAAGGAAGAAAGGGGAAGGATCTAATCTGAACTCTACAAACC